CATCTAATTAGACCATTGCCCAGACAAAACAAACAGGAAGCCATAATTGCTGCACTGCTGTTGACCCGAACACGCATCTGTCTCCTTTGTCCAGTGGTCAGTTTTTGATTATACATGCCACATAAAACTTCTTTTTGAATTCATGCATATACAATTTAATGGGTTCTCTTTATAGTCTTTTGCATATGAAAACTGAATCGGTTTTGAAACTATCGTATGCGAGAGATGCTTATTACTTGTTTTATGGTTTCTCGAAAGACCTAAAAATTTTCATGTTTGGCGAAGGTATTTAAAGAATCAATATGTTTCATTAAACGCAAATTCTGACGAATTTATTACGCCTGATCTTTGAACATCAATTATATTAACAATTTCATTACTGAACGCTTTTGTATGACCTTCCAATTTAAGAAGAAAGTAGGTAGTGACCTGGAAAACTAAATGAACAAACAGAACAGTTTTATTATACTAACAATTACATTTCAAGTCACGCAAACATGCTCAGCTTAATTTGAGACTTGCAAAGTGTATAAAAATGTCCGGTGGATAGAATATTGTTCAGTTGGTTGAATTTAGAAATTAAACATTAGCATAGGATAATAATCACTATTATTTAGTAATCTTGAACAAGATATTAGTAATAAAGTCGATGCAATCAATGCTATATCAAATGCCGTATGCAGATATATTTTTTGAAATAACGAATTTCCACGCACACTTTTAAGAGACATTTCAATTATAATCTTATTTAAACTGGGACGAGCATACAAATCTAAGATCATTAGGTTCAAATTCAATACATTTTGTTTAACGACTGAATGGGTCTAACAGCAAGTATATTTTATAACTTACTTGTACAATCACTGTACATTAGAACACTGAACAAATTAAGTTAAATTACTTGTATTTACATGTAGTATGCAACGATGCATGTCTTTAAACCAACGACTACAAGATGCACAAACTTATAATAATATAGCGCTTAATTGTATTCTATTTGAAAAAAAAAAGAAAATACAACATACTTTAATGTTTAGGTAAGAAAGATAACTCTTGTCAAAATATGAACAACATAGAAAAGTTATTGGTTATCTTTCTTACTTTAGTAACTTCTTTTTCACCAATTTGAATAAATGTATTGGAACCGCCTTTATTTTGGGGACATTAAAACCTTTTGAAGGTTGAATTATTCGAAACAGTTAGGTTTTTCTGTAAGAGATAAATTAGTCCTGCTAAAAGTGTCCGGGCGGACAAATATTAATTGTATAAAAAGTCCATGGTTACAGAATTTACTAGTATATTTAGTCCGATGTCAGTTATTTATGTCCCTATACTAATTTTCCTAGGAATTTATGTCCAGGTTATTAATATTCCTCGGTAAAAACGTCCATGTCCTTTATTTTAATAAGAAAATTTGTAATGAAAGAAATCATTTACATGTAAATAATAGAATTTTTAATTCGTATATGTTTTAATGTGTTTAAAAGTTGTGCATTAATCTTTTAATAAAATTTATGTGCCCAGACCAACTTTCCTAGGAATTCATGTCCAGGTCATTAATAGTCCTAGGTAAAAACGTCCATGTCCTTTATTTTTATAGGAAAATTTGTAATGCAAAAAAATTGTTTACATGTAGACAATGAGATTTTTAATAATTGATATATGTTTTTAAATTGTTTAACAGCTGTGCATTATCGTTTTATTTTTTTAGAATATGGGTGGTTTTTTAAATAATTAAACAGGCTTTTTTCTTAGGAAAATTGATATAACAGATTGTTCATAATGTACATGATTACAAATGCTCCTTTCGTAATTTTATTATTGATTAATTTAAAGAATGTCTTAAGAAACGAAATTTTAAATGAACATTTTTCATAGAAAAGAAAAATGAGAATATGGATATATCAAAAATTTCCTAGGAAAATAAGTGCTAGACATATTTTACTAGCTATGGACTTATTTTCCTAGGAAAATTTATCCTGGGACTTCAGTCCTAGTAAAATTGTGGTCACGGACTTGATTACCTAGGAAAAAAAGTCCAGCGGACAAATTTTACTACCGGACCGAAAGTGCTGTTACCTTTCTACCCTCAGGTATGGATTGCCTTTGCCTTATTTGGCATAACATTTTGGAACTTTCGGTTTTTAAAAATCTTCAAATTTGTATTTGGTTTGGCCTTTAAACTGTTTTGAAACGAGCGACTGATGAGTCTGTAGGCGAAAAGTGCGTCTGGCGTACACAATTTTAAGCCTATTATCTTTGATGAGTTTTTATACCCTATTTTGTTTTATTTGATAGGAGTACAATGTGTAACTGATGTGCTTCCTTGAGCCAAGTGAGCTAAAAAAACCAGTTAAAATAACAATTTTGATAGTTACATATTATTTCTTCCTCAAATCACAGAGCCTATATATGTAAGGGGATCACACTGATTAATGTTTCCAAACTCCCCAATGCAATGGAACAGATACCTTTCATATGCTTCAATCGCGTCATACGATTAATTAAAGGCACAAAAGCAAACAAACAACGCTGCTTAACATTAACTTTTGACATCGGAATAATTATTAATGTTTCCAAACTCCCCAATGTAATGGAACAGATACCTTTCATATGCTTCAATCGCGTCATACGATTAATTAAAGGCACAAAAGCAAACAAACAACGCTGCTTAACATTAACTTTTGACATCGGAATAATTATACCTAGGAAAAAAAAGTCCAGCGGACAAATTTTACTACTGGACCGAATGTGCTGTTACCTTTCTACCCTCAGGTATAGATTGCCTTTGCCTTATTTGGCATAACATTTTGGAACTTTCGGTTTTTAAAAATCTTCAAATTTGTATTTGGTTTGGCCTTTAAACTGTTTTGAAACGAGCAACTGATGAGTCTGTAGACGAAAAGTGCGTCTGGCGTACACAATCATAAGCCTGTTATCTTTGACGAGTTTTTATACCCTATTTTGTTTTATTTGATAGGAGTACAATGTGTAACTGATGTGCTTCCTTGAGCCAAGTGAGCTAAAAAAAAACCAGTTAAAATAACAATTTTGATAGTTACATATTATTTCTTCCTCAAATCACAGAGCCTATATATGTAAGGGGATCACACTGATTGATGTCTCCAAACTCCCCAATGCAATGGAACATATACCTTTCATATGCTTCAATCGCGTCATACGATTAATTTAAGGCACAAAAGAAAACAAACAACGCTGCGTAACATTAACTTTTGACATCGGAGTAATTATAGTTAAAACTTGTTAATTTAGGAGTTACTGTATTTTGGTATAAACCGATTCACATCCATCGTACAAGTATGCCACACATATTGTCTATGCATTGTAGATTATATTGTCGTCGAGTAAGTTATATAATTTGTAGAACATGAAAAAAGAGAAAGAAGCAAGTTTTGGTCATTTGGGAGACATAAAACATGAAGCGCCTGTTTCACATGTACTACTAAACTGTCCATATATTTTTCTTAATATGTTGAATGGCGCTATATCACCCGCCTTTTCGATGGCACTTTTTACTTTTTTTTACAATGAAATTTGAAGCACAAAAATTCAGATAAAGAAATAAAAGCATTATCACTGTCGATAATACCAGCATACAATATTTGAGAGTCATTTCCGATTTTATAATACAAAGATACGGAGATTTGGAATGATTTCCAATGAGGCAACTATCCACCAGAGACCAAAATCGGGGAAGTAATCAAATATATTAGGTCAAATCATGGCCTTCGACAATGAGCAAACCCATAACGTTCAGTAAGATATAGAAGGTCCCGTATAAGAAAATGTGAAACGCTTCATTGAGAAAACCAACGACCTGAAGTATTCTTTTTTTTTTTTTACAGTTTCAGCAATCTATGGTAAATATTGTTTGACAGCTGATAGTAGTAAAACGGAAAATCATGTAGCCACGAATAACTGAAGCAGGCTATACTTTTAGACGTAATCGAGGATGAGACCCTTGCAACTTTCAACATCACTTCTCTCAAATACGAACCCTTTTTTATAATTTTCTATTTTCATTTTTGAAAAGCTCTCTCTAAATTAATAAAACCCAGTAGATATCGATGCTCTTGTCAAAATCGTAGAACTTTTAAATATCTTTTTAGTTGTGTTTAACCTTAAGTAAAACGATCGTATACGATTGTGACATGATTATTGGTAACGTTACTATGGAAAGGCACAATTTAATATTTTGAGTTTAATTGCTTTAAGTACTGCAATCATTCTTTGGAATGGCATTGTTTTTGTTATTTTGTTTGTGCTTTTATCAATCATACCAATATATTAAAGAGTAAGGTAAACTTTTCCTCTCGTGATTTTATTGTAAACAGTAAACAACTATATTGCTCTATGTACCTTTTTGTTTGTCCACTAAACTAGATTGAAAAAAGGAGAAGGATGGAGATATAAATCACTAATGTCACCATGTAAGTCATGAACCTCGGCCTTTTTTTTTATATGTCTAATCTAAATATTTTTTTTATTTGAAGGGTTTGGTTTTAATGACAGATCATTGATATTTTATTTAATTTATTCTCAACTTTGTTATACTTTTTTCGAAGACTGTATGCAATCCATTGGTGTCTCTTGGTTAATTATGCCCAAAAGTTGCTATCCCATTTAAGTATACTCCACATCTTCTTTAATTCATCTCTAGATGTCGTTTGGTTGTTTTTCTCGTTGAAGTGCTGTCCAATTAATATTTACACAATATTTCTATTAACTCCTCTTTTATATTGATGATGCTGAATGTTTTATGTATCTAACATCCTAAACATAAGGTGTATATCGTACCTGATGAAGGCTATTCCAGAACCATTGTTCTGTGTATTGTTATCGGTAACATACGTACGTACATGTAATACATTGATAAACTTATTGTCTTATCTATTACAACAACAATAGCTTATATCTGACTAGTGCAAAGTCTCTTAATCTAAACATGGATATGATCGGACAGTTGTTTTTGCATATCTGTTCCATTGCATTGGTAAATTGTTTCCTTTTGGATGACTTAACAACAGTTCATATATTCGTGAGTCCTAACGGATCTGACACCAATAGAGGGTAAGAGTTAATTATTTGTAGCAAAAACAGACGGTTTCTCTTAAACTTATTCATGACTTTTATAAACTCGGAATAACTTAAAACTTACAAATTGTATAGAAACCCGTCTATTAATGGAGACAAGGTTGTTGTTGCCCACTAGATTTCTAGTGTGGTTTTTGTGGTTGGTTTGCTGTTTCATCCTTGTTTATTTTGTTCGCAGACTCTCTCTTTGGACAAAACAATGAGTAAACAATGAGGGACTTTGGTGATTTGCTATATCAAATATTGTATACGCGTAACTACATGTATGAGGCTGCTGTGTTTGGCTGTGAAAAAAAATATGTGGAATTTTGAAGACTTTTTCTTGAAGTAGGAGGTTGGGTACAATAAATAAACGTTTTTACCACATTCTCGTGAAAGGTATATTTCCACATTTTATTTAAGCCATCCTTTGAATTGTAAAGTGTTTTTTATTCATTTCTTTTTCTTTTGCAAGTGATTTTGGACACCATAACTTTAAGTTACAATATCTGAGTTACTTCCATATCAACTACTACTTAGTCTAGTATATTGTCTTTTCTATTCATTGACATCAAAGTAACACCACATACTGGCAAGTTTCATATCTCTCTCTCTTTATATTTTTTTTTGGGGGGGGGGGGGGGGGAGGAAGGGGGTGAACTAGCTGAGGAATTCAGTCCTGGCGTTAAAATATGGATTTTGCAAATTAACAAATTGTCCTCCATGGAAACTTCCGATTCTTAATCCGGGTTCGGCTATACTGTTGATCCTTTTCAGTTATATATCTTCTATGTGTGTATTAAGTTTTGAATTTACAAATATTTCGGACACTTGTATCACTGAAAAGATATTATTTGTCGAAATGATCTTCTGGTGGAGACAAATATATTTAAAACAAATTAAACAGAAAAAAAACAACACACAGAATAATTCTACAAAAAAAATTATTGTCATGGGACATTATTTAGGTTTACAATGATTATACTAGAATGTTTATTCAGGATAAAACTAGTTTTTATTTGTTGTTACATTTTTTTAGACGAGATATCTGGAGTCCTTTGCGTACGATAGAGAAAGCACTTTTGCAAATCAATGAACCTGCAACAAAGAATAAAGGTAACTTGATGCATGTGTTATAAGCTTTTTCTTGATTTCTACAAGGTTCCTGGCGAATTTTTACCGATAACCTCACTTAAGTTATACAATGCAAAAGCGTGTGGGTGTTAACAGAATTAACAATGAATGAGACTGCAGCATATATTATTTATTTTCCAGCTTCACTTGATTACATGCTTTTGTTCCTTTCATACATTTAAAAAAATATTCGATCGTTGTGTAAAGTCAACTATAGATACTGAAAGAAATGGTATACATTTAATTGTCGAAATCCGGATATGGTGTACTAATTTTTGCACCTTTTTTTGCGGTATACCATCTTTTCCGCAAGTTTATTGCTGTTTGGTATTAAATTAATAGTTAAGATCCATTTTGTTACATCCGTTTATTTGGCAATCGCCAATGGCAGTCAGAAGGGTTTAAGAACACCAGTTGTTCGACCTGCTAGTCAAATGCGTTTTGCTAAAATATACTTTTTCACTCTTTTGGTCTTTTGGAAAATGTTGTTTGTGCTTTATTTAGACCCCTCTACCAAGAAATTTGTTTTGCATGCACACGTATAAAAATTGCGGTTTTTATCCAACGCAATCATAGGTTTGAACGTTGTTTTCAATTTAGACTTGTTTATATATATATATATATATATATATATATATATATATGTGTGTGTGTGACATAAAACAAGACTTAACTGCGATTTTTACATCACATGCATGTGTCATTAAAATCCGTAATTATGATTTGCTGACAACAATCATGAGGCACTCCAATTTCCAATTTTATTTTCGTATAAAATACAATAAATATGACTACACGGGCTATCCGTGACAATGTTAAAACAATGCATAGAAAAACAAATGAAAAGATTGATTTATCTCTTAATTTCATGGTTGTATCATAAAAATGTAACTATAATAACTGAATGCCTCGTTTCTCGTGCGCACATATTTACAATATTAAAGCAGACAAAATATTTTTAGAATAAAATAGACAAAATATTTTGAGAATAAAATATACATAATATGCTTTGGTCAAGGCTTATACACTCCAATAACATAATAAAAAGAAGCATTCAATTCTTAAGTAAAATATATTCAATTAAACGAATATTCATTTACTTTGTCTATCCAATAAAACATTGCATCTCCAATTGGTTTTTACGCTTTCGAATAATATTTCAGCTTTCTAATTTTAAACATTGAATTTCTTTGTAGCATCATTCCAGTAGCGCCCGCATATTCTCAGAAATTGATATGATATTTCAGAGCTTGCATTAACTATTATGATATCCTTGATAGAGGTTTATTGCTGCTTGCAATCGACCCATTCAAACAAGGTTTCCTATTTGAAAAGTTGAAGTCATCCCTTCGAAAGATTTACAAATGCCATCATCATTTCGTTGACCGTTGTGGCATTTTTGAGTCACATATGACAATTGATTTGTCTTAATTGCTATCACCAAACAAGAACATTAACAGCTGTCTTGATATATATTTGATATGGTTATATCTTTTGTTTGTCAGCATGATTATTTTGTAAGGAACATTTAAGTGACATCTGAATTTTTAAACACTGCTGATAGAGTTTAATCGTCTGCAATATATATTTTATGTTTGGATGCCTGATCATATTCAAGAATAAAAAGAACAGAAAAAACTTGCTAACTTGATAACTGTATATTTTGCGTAACTAAAGAGAGTATATTGTACATACAGATGTTTATTACAGATGTTATAATTGAATTAAGGTCAGGATATTACGAGTTGCAGTCTACTTTGAAAATTAAACACACAGGACCTAGGCGACTGACAATTAGAGCTTCTCATGATCAAGATGTCCATATTGTAAGTTACATATATCTACAAAATACCATGTCTGTAATCTGACTTGTAATAAACATTCTTGCCATTATTTATTTAGGGGAGGGGTACGATTCCAATGAGCAATGAAAATCACAAGACCAATTTAACAGACAACATCATAGCAAAAAAGAAAAGGGACGAAAAGACAAACCACATTCCACAAAACCCTACACCGAAAACAAAGATTGAATTACACGAACCCTACCAAAAACTGTGGATGAACTCCAGCAGGGTAGGCAGTTCCTAATCCACTAGCGACACCCTTTTATAATATTTGATTAAAGGGTTTATATGTAGGTACTGTGAAACTTCTTGGAGATGTTTGGTAATTGTTATTTTTCATCTATGTGTGTCTTAATGAGATTATTTTGTATTGTAAAACTATTACATTACACTCGATTGCATTCTCTTATTTCTTAGTCATGTTATAGTAAGAGATCTGAACTATGTCTTGTTGGAGATGTCCTGATTGACATTAAATACTGGGAAACCCTGGTCTATTTTATATTTATTAAATATTGAAATTGGGCTTTCAGGTATCTTCAGTAACTGCTAGTGATTGGCACTTTGTGTCTATTTTTTCATTTTGTTACAAAATATTTTATGTAATTTGAAACAATCTGACGGATAAAACATTTTCAACTTTTTTTTACAGTTTGTTCTAATGTTGTACTGTTACATAACTGTCCCAGCCTTGGTTGGGGGTTGAGCGCTCAAAACATTCTATGTGTGTCTGTCCCATGCCAGGAATCTGTAATCCAGGGTTGTCGTTGGTGGGTGTCTACCATATTCAAATTGGTTTTCATTGTTGTAATATAAATGAGGCTGCTAGTTTTCTCTTTTGATTCGTTTCACATTGTGTCCTTTTTGTAGCTTACTAAACGGTATCGGTTTTCCTCATTGTTGAAGGTTGTATGGTAACCTGTAATTGTTTACTTTTTTATTCTTTGTTATTCTAATTATGGATCATACCCTTATCTGACGCCTAAAGTCTAGCGGTGATCGTTGGTTGCTGTCTGTCATATAAACTGTTTTGCTTTAGCGTTAATCGTGTTTTCACTTCATTTCTTTAGAACTGTTTCAAATTTTAATATCCTCAGGCCTATTCTAAGTTACTATACGGTAACGGTTACGCTCACTTGTGAACTGCATTGGTCTTTGGAGAACAGATGTCTCATTGGTACTTATACCACGTCTCCTTATTTTTTTATTGAATTTGTCTATTGTTTGAAAATGGTATATGGCAATAATAAGAATATAATCATGATGTGTCAATGCAGCGCTTATATTTTTCTAAACTTTTTTTTAATTAAAATAAGCATTTGATAAAAAAAAAAAATCAATAAGCTTTAAAAACTTTTATCAATAATGATGTCATTTATGACGGCATAATTTCACAAAATGATAATGACAAATAAAATTTTGCTTTTTTTCCGACATTTTTGTGGATTTAAATTAATTATTATTATCATTATCAAGTTTTTGCAATTTACATTTTTATAATAACCTCTCTTCAGACCGGAGGCAAACGGATATCGTCATCAGAGTTTAAAAGAGTTACAGATTCAATGGCTTGGCAAAGATTACCTTCTACGTCCAGGAATAAAGTAACTTATAACTTAGTAATACGATGAATGAAGGAAATGTGATTTAAATGAACTGAAATGAGTTTTGGAGTCATTGTTAAACTAATATAATGATGAATGCATTGAATCTTAAACTGCTTGTAAACTAGTTTAACCCTCCACATTTGTATGGGCGTGTCCCATGTCAGGAGCTAGTCAATAGTTGTCGTACATTTTATTTTAATGTTTTTTCGTTATTTTCAGAATTGGGTGTGAATATAAGATCTGTGTTTGCTTCAGTTAAATTCATTTACTATATGTATAGACTAGGGACGATTTAAATCTTGACATTGTATATAGACCCCTGTCAATTGTTGAAGACATAAAATATGTTGTATTCTAGATGTCCTATTATGTTACGTTCAGTTTAAATCCAGAGGAGATTGACAACGGTGCAACTATGTTATTCTAATACTTTATAAAATTGAGAATGGAAACGGGGAATGTGTCAAAGAGACAACAACCAGACCAAAGAGCAGAAAACAGCATATGGTACCAATGGGTCTTCATCACAGCTAGAAAATCCCATCCCCGGAGGCGAGCTTCAGCTGGCCCCTAAACAGTAATGTATACTGGCACTTCCATATAAGCGGGAGGTTTGGCTAGCCATAAACCAGGTTCAACCCACCATTTTTTCTTAATATGTCCTGTACCAAGTCAGGATGGCAGTTGTTATCAAATAGTCCGTTTCTATGAATGTTGGCGTTTGTTTTTGTAGCAGTTCAGTGTTTCTGTTGTTTTCCTCTTATAGTTGATGTGTTTCCGTTTTCCTCTTATAGTTGATGTGTTTCCGTTTTCCTCTTATAGTTGATGTGTTTCCCTCGGTTTTGGTTTTTGACCCGGATTTGTTTCAGTTAAATCGATTTATGACTATTGAACAGCGGTATACTTCTGTTGCCTTTATTTATTCAGCGAAAATGGACGTCACACTAAAATCCGAAACATATGAATGAACCCACATTAAAAAAAAACATACAAGACTAACAAAGGCCAGAGGTTCCTGACATGGGACAGGCGCAAAAATGTGGAGAGGCTAAACAAGTTTTGTGAGATCTCAACCCTCCCCTATACCTCTAGCCAATGATAGCTATAAACTTATAAAACACTATCGAGAACAAAACTTTCTCAAAAATAATAATGCATAGGTCTATTCTGTAAATACCCTTAATGTGCCTTTTCGTGACGAAACTGCAACTTATCAGTATCCAATATTCTGCCAAGAACCAAAGTCTTATCCAATGCCCGGGCAGCAATTCATGTTTTTAACATGACTTTGAAACATAAAATGAAAATATTTTTGTCGCTGATTTTTCCAAACCTTGGCTATAATAAATCATAAGTCGATGAAAGGCAGACATCAGCAGTACAGAAGTTAAAAAGTCTAGCTGTCTTCGGATTTTTTTGTCATTGTGTCACTGTTGCCAAGTTTTGATTGATAACGATCCCCTTTTATTCATAATTACTAGTCCCCATCCATTAAACTGAAGATTGAGCGACACCAAATCCACTAAAAACTCATGGAAAGTGAAGGTACTCTGGATGTTACGCGGTTTTCTGCACGAGCGGATCGATAATCAAATAAAAATGTACTTGATGATTTGTACCTTATTTGAAAACGTACCTATAATGGACCACCTACTACGCAACCACTGATTTATTAAATTTATCGCTTTTTATATCGCATCTTTTATATTTGATATCAATTTATGTTTGCCATATGTAAACGTAGACTGAAGTGTTACAGTTAGATAATACACCTATAACCGACTCAAAACTCGGAACATTTTATCTAACCTATTTCTCAAACTTACAATCATCACTTATGTCTAGAACAACATTTTTCATGACAATTGGTGCTATCAGGTTATGAAAGTACATCTTTATTTTCGTAAAATACGAACAATCAAGTTAACATTCACAAATCGAGCATAGTCTAAGTAAAATTTATTGAATTTTGTTATACCTCAAATTTGAGGACACCTATAAATACATATTTCACATCCACTGGACAAATGAAGATAAAATTTCATTTTTTTTTATTTCCCTACCTACATGTAATTTACCTGATTCGTTAATATTTATTCTTTCAAATGATAACGGTTTAGGTGCTTCAAGTACGATTGTCTGAAGTGGGCGTTACAAATCTTGGCACTATTACGGATTATGGATATTACATAAAACGACTAGCAGCATTGGAAGTTTTTGAGAACGACAATCCATTGACATTAGCTAGATATCCTAATAAAGTAAGTTTGTGTAGGTATAAATATTAAATAAGCTTCTCATGAGGAAACACGAATGAAAAATTATTGTCAGACGAAAAGTTTATTACAAATTCAAATATAGATTACATTACTAGATCTTTAATGGACCTTGCTTGTTGCTGGCTTAACATTCAGTGTCAAATGTTACCGGCACATAGAAAACAAGAAAACTTGAAACAATTATCAAATTCGTAATTAGGTTTGAAAAATTAAAAAAAAAAACATGACACAGGATTGAAAATGTCGATTGTTGCGGAAAAATTAGAAAATGTAGGGAAAACAGAATTAATTTATAACCTGTGTCACACCTTTCTTAAGTAAGACTGATTATATTTAAAGAGTTCGCTATGATAGAAAGTAGTGGTGAAATGTTTGTTTAAATTTACTGTCCCTGTTGTTTCGATCTGTTTCAACATCCCCAACCTTTTTAATTCTTCGATGAAGATGATTGCTGGTACAACACATTCCAGTCCGAAACATATCTAAAATGAGTCACATGCAAGCATATAATGTGTATTTTTAATTTACTCCTATCCGAAAATATGTGCATTATTAAAATCTGAATGATTGAAGCTATATCATGATTTATCTAGGGGTATATCAACATAAACACAACTTATAGTGACAAAAAATCCTTCACATATGATTCGGACCAACCAAAACAGTGGCACCATGAAATGACGTTTGGGCTCATGGCTTCTGGTATTTAAATATTTAGTATACTATAGGTTAGCTATGTAATCAATGAGAAATTTCAAAATGTAATGCTCTTATCATTTGATGATGTTACCATAATTAAAAATAGAATCTAAAACTTTACATTATTGTAGAACCACATTCGAAATTTGTACACAGCTACTTTTCTGTAATTAATATTTGTGGTCAGATATAAAAGTGATTTGAAGACAATTTGACATGCTAGACTCAGTATATAGTATAACATAAGACCTGAGGAGAATGTTTTGTAAACAACAAACTGTTTCATATCTTCTCCATAACAAGCTGATTTACAAATAAACGTAACATACTATTATTTGATCGTTTTTTGGTTTTACTCTAGAGGCAGAAGATACAAAGAGCACCACCAAAAATCATAAGTCGAAGTAGAACGGAAAGCACCATGAACAAAAAGACAAAACTAAAGACATAGCAACTAGTTCCTCCTGAAAAAAGGGGTGATCCTAGATTCTCTGGAAGGGTCTACTGAATGTTACTTAATAAAATTATGCGACGGGTGATACATGTATAACAGTAGATGCTATTTATGTCGACACTCCACAAATGAAATTAGAGGACAATATATATACGACATTACCATGAATTTATTTTTAGGTATTATAGTTGGTCAGATCGAGCTTACAAAGTACAACACTTTGATCCAGAAAAGAAAAATATAACACTTTCCAAACCAGCATTATACGGCCTAAAAAGAGGTATATTCCTACTTATTAACATTCTCAAAACCGGACGCATAAATCTGCATCAAGACGCGAACTCACGGGAAACCTGTATGAATTTGATTTATTAGAATTGGTTGGAAACCATTATCGTACAAAAGTTAAAATTCTGAACCTCCTTCGGAATCAATGATATTTACATACAAATGTGTAATTATCAATCAAATGATACATTGAAATTACTTTATCACCGAATTGGTACTTGCCATGTAATTGAGCAACACGAAGAACGCAACAATTGAAATAGGATCAGCTTATATAATCTCCCGGAGCACCAGAATCACCCGCCTTTTTTGTAGGTGTTCCTGTTACTTTTCATTTAGTTTTCTGTGTTATATTTTGTGATATTTTATTATTTAATGTCTGTTCAGTTTTTTATGTAAATGTTTTGGATTTAAACAGGAATAATGTACCAAGTGTCAATTGAGGAACTTGAATTGCCGACATTTCAGAAACTGTCGAGTTTAAGTACCCATTCATTTGATGTGTATAAATGTCTTGTGGAGTGAATATTGCATAATCGACTTTTTTCCATTTCTATGTAGCAAATTCCAGCAGCTCCTGCATACGGAGTATATATATCCTCGTTGATACGACATTCCAGGGCTTGTATTTCCTATCATGATTTCCTTGATGGAGGGTTGCTGCTCACAAGGAAGCTGTTAAACCAAGAGTTCCAAGTGGTGAAGTTGAAATCATCTCTTTATATATTTTAAGGGGACGCCATCACGAGTTGGTTGACCGTTATGGAATATCCGTTTCACAGATGATAGTGGATATTTTCCAAATTGTCCAACTACAATCCCGTCCCCTTTTCCTCGAATGTGATCTACCGATTTAGGCTTATTACCGGGTTTGTACTAACATGAGCAACACGACGGGTGCTACATGTGAAGCAGGATCTGTTTACCCTTCAGATCACCCCCCCCCCCCCCCCCCCAGTTTTTGGTGGGGTTCGTGTTGCTCATTCTTTAGTTTTCTATGTTGTGTTTTGTGTACTATTGTTTTTCTGTAAGCAGTTGGTCCTTTTCTTGTTTAGCTATGGCGTTGTCAGTTTATTTTCGACTTATGAGTTTGAATGTCCCTTTGGTATCTTTCGCCTCTCTTTTGTATAGTGTTTACATTTATATTGCATTTTTTTTTATATTTATATTTGAGGACACTATTGTGTATCAGGTCCATCAGTGGCAGGATATTCGAAACCAGGTGGCTACTTTAGATTTGTTAATGTAATGTCCGAACTTGATGAGCCCGTAAGTCACTTAAATATATTAAATAATAATGCAAATGCATTTTTGTCTGAAATCAAAAGTTTATCGATAAAAAATTGGACTGCTGTATAACATAAATATGGCGATAAAGTGCAAAGATCACTAAGTACAATTAGACACTCAGAAACATATAGAGAGTCGAGTGAAAAACAACTTAAGAAACCTTTCAATCTTCTAAGTACAGTACATAGATTAAAATAGCACTGCCATTTGTATGAGCTGTTGACCAATTTATCGTCATGGAAAATCGACAAACTTTGAAAAGTATAAAATTTTGGTTGTTCTGAAATACTTCTGACAAGAATAACGAAAGTTGAATAAAACTGCTTTTTGAATTTAAGGTCCGTTATTTATTCGAATTGTTGCTCACGTCAAGGTTTTGTATAATTTTAGAGACCATGGTAGTCATTGATCAAGTAGTTGGGGTTTTTCAAAGAATGCCCGAAGATGTCCATCATTTTAGGCGTTCGTACAAACACACATGTATTATCAGTATAATGCATTTTTTTACTTGTAGGGTGAATATTATGTGGATAGAGAGCGTGGTATTTTATATGTATGGCCGAGTAACGACGTGTCTTACAAAGATAGTGATAAGATTTATGTTTCCATTGTACCCACATGTATAGAGTAAGTTATTTTTATGGCGCATTTCAATATAATTATAACCCCGTTCCGAATGTAGGGTAGTTTACTGGTTTACGTGTCTGTCCGTCCGAATCATTAAATTTTGGTTGCAACTTTTCCAGGAACTACAATTAATACAATTTGCTCGCGTTTGTTTCATGAACTACTCATCATAGCTTCACGAATTTGAAATCAAGCTTTATGCGCATGCTGCACTATATTTTCAGATTCATTGCTCATCCACTTCCTATATACAAAATACTTATACATTATACACAATGGGCATGAGTGAAAGTTTCGTCGCATTTTTCAGGAAATACAAATCAAGATTTTCATAAATTTATGAACATGTTTTACCGTTTGATGCGTTTTTACATCTATCATTCTTCAACTTCCTACTTACCGAATACTTATAGAGGTGGTATTATTATTGAGCAACAGTTCACAGTTAAACTTGTTTATTTCTGTTATTTTTGCACCAACCTGTAAGTATCTGATGTATAGTTAAACATATTGTAAGCAAACAATGAAATCTAGCTGCACAATTTCTGTGGACATTATGGTCTAAATTAACTGAGTATATATATATATATTCCATCTTCATGCCTAATATATCATGTACTGTGTTACAACTCTAGATTCTACTGACGAGGAAAGGTAACACTAGGCCAACGAGAGCTGAATTTTTAGTTCAGTCTAGGTGGCCGAGTTGTCTAGAGCGACGGACACAGTGCAGGCGGTGTTGTCTCGATATCCTAATAGCATGAGTTCGAATCCCGGCGAGGGAAGAACAAAAACATGCTTCCGCAAATTTGCAGATTTAACATTGTTGTGCTGATATTTAGAGTAGTTATGTATATCGCCTGCACTGTATCCGACGCGCTAGACCACTCGACCACCTGGGCTTCACAATATATATATATATATATACAAGTCTAAATTGAAGACAACGTTCAAACCTATGATTGTGTTGGATAAAAACCGCAATTTTTATACGTGTGCATGCAAAACAAATTTCTTGGTAGAGGGGTCTCAATACAGCACAAACAACATTTTCCAAAAGACCAAAAAAGTGAAAAAGTATATTTTAACAAAACGCATTTGACTAGCAGGTCGATAAACGGGTGTTCTTAAACCCTGCTGACTGCCATTGGCGATTGCAAAATAAACGGATCACAAAGATGTTACAAAATGGATCTTAACTATTAATCTAAAACCAAACAGAAAACAATAAACTTGCGGAAAAGATGGTATACCGCAAACAAAAGGTGCAAAAATTAGTACACCATATCCGGATTTCGACAATTAATGTCTCTTCAGTGATGTTAGGAATCGAAACGGTATTTGGAAGGCCATATAATTTACCTCAATTTAGGATAGACTCTTGAATTTTGAAGAGTCGAAATAGGATGAACGGATCATATAAACCCGAAGGCAAATATAATACAAGCCCAAACGAAAAAATATCAACAAGTCTAAATTGAAAACAACGTTCAAACCTATGATTGCGTTGGATAAAAACCGCAATTTTTATACGTGTGCATGCAAAACAAATTTCTTGGTAGAGGGGTCTCAATACAGCACAAACAACATTTTCCAAAAGACCAAAAAAGTGAAAAAGTATATTTTAACAAAACGCATTTGACTAGCATATATATATATATATTGAAAAATGACTTAATCCTTTTTGATATTTGACACAAATGAAAGTGGTAATTATTTTCTATTTAAAATATTTTTGAAAGATTAATTATTCCGTCTACCAAAACAATATGCAATTTGGTTTACATTACAGAATTTCAAGTTCTTCAGCAAATGTTGTCTTGGAAGGATTTTCGATAGAAGCATGTCGACAGTATGGTATACTTGCTTCTTCGGTCAGTGAAATAACCCTGTCGAAACTACAAATTCAGAACACAGGTTAATATTTACGACCCAATATTTCTTTTCTTTATTACCAGTATTATAAATTTTTATATCCATATGGGACACACTAATTTTGTAGTTTATTTTTTTGAATATTGAGTAAAATTATATATATGTCGCTTTGAAGAAAACACATACCCTTCCTTTATCCGATTATCTAAAGCAATGCTGCTGTAAAAATATGAACTATGACTGATCCCTAAGTATAATATGATGAAATCCATTTATGTTGTTCATTATGAAGATGTATAACGAACAGGTATTTCAAAACGAATCTTTACATTTTTTTTTTGCTTTTGATACAATTTTAACACACGTGCGAATTACTTTTTGGATTTCGGAATATAACTGGAGTCGTAAATATTTTATGTTAACTTCTGTTCATATTTGGTTTCAGGTTCATATGGAATAAACACAAGAGGCAACAATATTAAAATCAGTCAGTGCTATATTCGAAATACTGATGGTGGAACTTACATTTCAGGTTGGTATATTTACTTCTTACTTGTGTGTCGATTTAAACCATTATCACCAGCAAAAAACACTCCAGACTAATGATTTAATCATAAAAAGTTAGAATCATAATAATAATCAAACAATTCGAGTGTTTAATTGCATTAACTGTTACACGCACATGGCTTAAATTGTACATGATTTACTTAGGATAATGACCTGCTTCAAGTTATTCCATGCTGTATGGATATATAATAAGGAGATGTGATTTGATTGCCGATGAAACAACCATGCCACAGAGCCAACTGAAGCGGATTTAAGCAACTATAGGTCACCGTACGGCCTTCCCGTTTGACATGGAATAGGTTCTCATTATTCTGAATCAAATACTGTAAATTTAGAAATATTCCCGATTTTTTTTTATAATTCCAAAAATTGCGCCGAGATAACTAAAGGTTCACAAAAATAAAAACTCTCATATTGTAGTAACGTGTACCTTATGTCAATTTAAAAAGACGTTGAAAAAACAACTAAAAAAAACCAGAAATTACATCATGAATTCATAAAATGTTTTTATTTTTTGGATAGGCGGTGATCGAAAAACTTTAACCCCATCAGGAAATGAAGTGTCCGATAATGTCATACTAAACTTCGGACGTGTTGGCTATGTCGGGAGTGACGGGATTTTTTGTGGAGGTGTTGGAAACCATATTCACCATAACATTTTATACAGAGGTTCATATACAGGAATACATTGGAATGTATGTCTTTCATATTAAAAAAATGACACATCCGCGGTTTATATAGAATGATTCTACTGGCTGTAGAAAGCAACATACATAAGTACTGGAAAAAAACCCAAGTAGCTTCATGAGTGTACCTTTTGGTTCACAATGTTTCACAGTTTTGAATGAACTCATCGTAGGCATATTCTTTTATAAATAAAAGTAGATGTTGGGTAAACGTCTATAAATTAGAAATCTATCTACACAAAAAAATATCTATATAATGCAGCTTTAATTATTTTTATGATCAATGTTTATAAAATGCATTTATTTATCAAGAAAATGAAAAAGACAGGAATTACCAAAAACATTGAACAATACAACATACTATACCAACCATCAATACCCGACTCGTACGAAAAAACAAAAGTATGAACAAAGACGAACGAACAACAGCTAAAACGCATTGTCTATATAGATAAATAAGTAAAGGAACAAAATATAGTGGGGTTAAACCAGTTTTACGTTTACAAATTTTCCACCTTTGCCTATTTAAAACATATGTGTTGAAAGAGTAAAACACACACGATGAAACACCTACATGGTTCAGTTACTAACATAATGACCACCAACTCGAACAATGACAAATAGGTTTAAACGCACTCGCTACTGTAGGAAGACATCTAATAAATTCATAGCTGTTGGTTTAAAACTACTACTTGTTTGACGAATATCTTTTATTACTTATGATCTTTGCACATCCTATTGTCAACTTCATTTATTTATTGCAGGAAAATGATCATTTATTTGAATATAATCATTTATCAAAAATGTGTATAGAAGCAAGTGATTGTGGAGGAATGATGACAGGTCGTGATTGGGCTGCGGTAAGATAATTTTATTTGAATGATTTCATGACATGACTGTTAATCTTTTCGAAGATAATATATATATACCATAATTTGCTAAAATCTCCAAGACGGTACCTAGTCGGTATTACCCCAATATCATGCCAGGATGTCATTTGCTTGAGTATCAGAGACGAATTGCGCAACCCATGGTCATATTCTATTACCATTCATTGAATGTTAATTGGTTAAAAAGGGTCATTAGCTACATGTACGAGATATAACAAATTATTTTTTTGGTTTTTTTTGTTAAATCATTAATGAAAGCATAAAAGTGAAATAATAATTCGCTTTTAGCAGCCAGTTTGTTTCAATATTGGGGTAATTCACTTGCAAGTGAATAATTCGACCTCATTGAATCCGTATTCATGTGACCTTCTATTAAACCCCTTAGCTTAAGATGGGTAACGCATGAACGAGTCGTGTTTAGCTATTAAAAGGAAAAGAATGTCAACATTGAAAGTGAAAAAAGGGTAAACCATTTAGTTCACTGATTCGATCCACAACAAAAACTCATTCTTGTACAGGTAAAACAATCATTAAAATATTTGTTTAACCTATAATATGAAATAAAACAGACCTAGAAAAATCCAATTGCACGTGTTTGCTATTTATATATATCTATATTTATGTTTATATCGGGTAATATGACCGTCGGCAGTTTTAGAAGGTCACATCGATGGTGAATTAGATGGCATCTAGACTAAAATACACACGAAATGCTGAAACATATTATCGAGTCCATGCATCGTTGTTTATTTTAGACTTTTTAGAATTTGGATAAACGTTTTAGTATGTTATAAATCAAATATGAGAATTTGAGGCAAATATATGAACATGAATTTGACAGCTAATGCCCCTTTAGTACCGAATAAGAATAAACTTCATTTCCACTTGTTAACGAATGTAAGAAGAGTATGCCAGAAACATAGCAAATCTGTGTATACTAGAATTGTGGCGTGAAAAGGGTTTTCAAACCTTCAGATTGCAAAGAAACTGATATATCTTTTTGGACCATAATAACACTGAAACTTTCATTTGAAAAGAAAATCATTAAAATGACTGTTTAATGAACGTGTACGATATATATGCTACACATAATTACAAAACATTTCTTCATATACAAATTAAGAGTTATACTGCGAAATAATATGTAGATTCTCTCTCCTTTTCGCATAGTTGTCCAACACTACAAAATACAAATACGAAATCCCTTCTATTATCCAGATTCTAGAATTAAATATATATATATGTACAATGTACAAATTGATTTACAAGTCTACCTATTGTTTAACTAAGTCTCTTTGTTTAAAATTCACGTTTCATACTTGAGCTCAAAAATGTTTGTCGAAATGAGTAAGCTAGGGTTATACAGATTCTCTTGTTTTATTTTTTTCTGTGTTGTACTTTGTGCTTTTTAATTTTAAATGTCTGTATTGTTTCTACATGTGACAATATTGTCTATCCTTTGTCCTGAAAACCGTATTTCAATTCAAAAATGTCACATTCGGTCAAGTTTTAGAGCTAGATAACTTACATTGGGTGATGCCTATTCACTAGACATAACTTATTAACGTATACTATAGAATATAAAAGAATAGAATTCTATTCTATTATATACTATACTATAGGAGTAACTCGAACGGTGTAACATGTGGAGAAGGATCTTCTTACCCTCCAAGAGCACCTGAGATCACCCCTTGTTTTTGGCGGGGTTCGTGTCGCTCAGTCTTTATTTTTCTATCTTGTGTTTTGCAGACTGTTGTTTGACTTTTGGTCTTTATTCTTTTTAGCTCACCTGACCTGAAAGGTCAAGTGAGCTTTTCTCATCACTTTGCGTCCGTCGTCCGTCGTCCTGCGTCCGTCGTCCGTCGTCCGTCGTCCGTAAACTTTTACAAAAATCTTCTCCTCTGAAACTACTGGGCCAAATTTAACCAAACTTGGCCACAATCATCATTGGGGTATCTAGTTTTAAAAATGTGTGGCGTGACCCTGTCAACCAACCAAGATGGCCGCCACGGCTAAAAATAGAACATAGGGGTAAAATGCAGTTTTTAGCTTATAACTCAAAAACCAAAGCATTAAGAGCAAATCTGACATGGGGTAAAATTGTTCATCAGGTCAAGAACTATCTGCCCTGAAATTTTCAGATGAATCGGACAACCCGTTATTGGGTTGCTGCCCCTGAATTGGTAATTTTAAGGTAATTTTGCTGTTTTTGGTTATTATCTTGAATATTATTATAGATAGAGATAAACTGTAAAAAACGATAAATGTCGGCAAAGTAAGATCTACAAATAAGTCAACATGACCGAAATTGTCAGTTGACCCCTTTAGGAGTTATTGCCCTTTATAGTCAATTTTAACCATTTTTTCGTAAATCTTAGTAATCTTTTACAAAAATCTTCTCCTCTGAAACTACTGGGCCAAGTTAATTATAGATAGAGATAATTGTAAGCAGGAAAAATGTTCAGTAAATTAAGATGTACAAACACATCACCATCACCAAAACACAATTTTGTCATGAATCCATCTGCGTCCTTTGTTTAATATTCACATAGACCAAGGTGAGCGACACAGGCTCTTTAGAGCCTCTAGTTTTACTGTAGTCAAGAAAAAAAACCCCAAAAATGCATTTCCATATATTTTAACAAATAGGAAACTTGAAATTTTCTTGACATAGTCCAAGAATACTCTGATGTCTGGACAGACTGTGTAGGACTTGTTGGGGCTGTCGGACTTCAGAGTGTAGATCATAAAGAAAACATGGAAATTGTCGACCTAGATTCTAAATCCTAAAAGATCTATTTTCAAGTATTACAGCCTCCATGGCTGAGTGGTCTAAGTAGTTCATCCACAATATCACTAGCCTGCCAACACTGAGGTTGTGAGTTTGAACCCAGCATTTGACAGGTGCATTCAATGCTGATCTTAATTGACTAGGATTGGCAGTTTTTTGCTGAAGGTTGTGGTTTTATCCAGGGAATCTTGCTCCCTCCATCAATAAAAAGCAGGGTCCTGATATAGCCAAGAGTGCTGAAAGTGGCATTAAAAACCAACAATCAATCAATAAAAAAAAAAATCAAGTGAATAAATCATACATCATTTGATTCCTTCTTTTTTTACTCTGCAAATATGCAACTTTTATTCAGTGTAAACATTAACTTTTAATCATATGAAAATATTTCCTATTTTACAATTTTTTGTCTCACCTGTGATGAAAGTCGCGGAAAACGAGACATAGGGATTGCTTTTCCGGCTCCGGCGTTAACAATTGTTAAGTTTTCTGCTTAAGTTAGTTTGATAGGATCTACTTGTGGTAGATCAATGATATTTTGTATGAAGTTGCATAGGATCTACTTACATTAAAAGATATTTTCTATAAAGTTACATTACTGTCTGTACATCTCAGTTTGTCTCCATTTTCAGGCCCTGCCCACTAGATCATGGTCCAGTGACTGAATTAATAAGCAATTAGATTATCTTTTTAGCTCACCTGACCTGAAAGGTCAAGTGAGCTTTTCTCATCACTTTGCGTCCGTCGTCCGTCGTCCTGCGTCCGTCGTCCGTAAACTTTTACAAAAATCTTCTCCTCTGAAACTACTGGGCCAAATTTGACCAAACTTGGCCACAATCATCATTGGGGTATCTAGTTTAAAAAATGTGTCCGGTGACCCGGCCAACCAACCAAGATGGCCGCCATGGCTAAAAATAGAACATAGGGGTAAAATGTAGATTTTGGCTTATATCTCTGAAACCAAAGCATTTAGAGCAAATCTGACATGGGGTAAAATTGTTTATTAGGTCAAGATCTATCTGCCCTGAAATTTTCAGATGAATCAGACAACCTGTTGTTGGGTTGCTGCCCCTGAATTGGTAATTTTAAGGAAATTATGCCGTTTTTGGTTATCATCTTGAATATTATTATAGATAGAGATAAACTGTAAACAGCAATAATGTTCAGCAAAGTAAGATCTACAAATAAGTCAACTTGACCAAAATGGTCAGTTGACCCCTTAAGGAGTTATTGCCCTTTATAGTCAATTTTTAACCATTTTTCGTAAATTTTTGTAATCTTTTACAAAAATCTTCTCCTCTGAAACTACTAAGACAAATTTAACCAAACTTGTCCACAATCATCATTAGGGTATCTTGTTTAAAAAATGTGTCCAATGACCCCGCCCATGAACCAAGATGGCCGACATGGCTAAAAAATAGTACATAGGGTAAAATGCAGTTTTTGGCTCATATCTCTGAAACCAAAGCATTTAGAGCAAATCTGTTGAGTATAAAATTGTTCATTAGGTCAAGATCTATCTGCCCTGAAATTTTCTTACCAATCAGGCAACCCGTTGTTGGGTTGCTGCCCCTGAATTGGTAATTTTTAGGAAATTTTGCCGTTTTTGGTTATTATCTTGAATATTATTATAGATAGAGATAAACTGTAAACAGCAATAATGTTCAGCAAAGTAAGATCTACAAATAAGTCAACTTGACCAAAATTGTCAGTTGACCCCTTAAGGAGTTATTGCCCTTTATAGTCAATTTTTAACCATTTTTCGTAAATTTTTGTAATTTTTTACAAAAATCTTCTCCTCTGAAACTACTAAGACAAATTTAACCAAACTTGTCCACAATCATCATTAGGGTATCTAGTTTAAAAAATGTGTCCGATGACCCCGCCCGCGAACCAAGATGGCCGACATGGCTAAAAAATAGTACATAGGGTAAAATGCAGTTTTTGGCTCATATCTCTGAAACCAAAGCATTTAGAGCAAATCTGACATGGGGGTAAAAATTGTTCATTAGGTCAAGATCTATCTGCCCTGAAATTTTCAGACCAATCAGGCAACACATTGTTGGGTTGCTGCCCCTGAATTGGTAATTTTAAGAAAATTTTGCAGCTTTTGGTTATTATCTTGAATATTATTATAGATAGAGATAAACTGTAAACAGCAATAATGTACAGCAAAGTTAGATCTACAAATAAGGCAACATGACCAAAATTGTCAATTGACCCCTTAAGGAGTTATTGCCCTTTATAGTCAATTTTTTACAATTTTCATAAATTTTGTAAATTTTTGTAAATTTTTACAAAGTATTTTCCACTGTATCTACCGGGCCAAGTTCATTATAGATAGAGATAATAGTAAGGAGCAAGAATGTTCAGTAAAGTAAGATCTACAAACACATCACCATCACCAAAACACATCACTTCACCAAAACACAATTTTGTCATGAATCCATCTGTGTCCTTTGTTTAATATGCACATAGACCAAGGTGAGCGACACAGGCTCTTTAGAGCCTCTAGTTTTGCCATGGGGTTGTCAGTTTGTCTTCGACTAATGAGTTCGAATCTTCCGCCTCTCTTTTATATCTCCTATGCACACGTAAATCATATATACGTATCTTTGATGAGTTTTGAAAACATGTTTTGGTGCAAAAAGATTTCAGTTTGGTTCAGATAATATGAGTGCATTCTTTGATCGAAAGACTTTACATGATCTGTCCGGATTTTTAGAGAAATAAGCAAATTTTAATGCAGAATAGAAATGCAATGTAACTTTTCATTTGAATGTAGAATTGTATATGATAATTTATACATTTTGGAAGTAACTTATGCTTACCAATACAGAAGTGTTCTCGACTGATTTAGAAATATCATTTTTTTTAAAGAATATAATTGTAATTTCATTTTATTTTGTTATGTAAGAAAACTAGAACACAGACATTTTCTTTTTTATTATCCGGAAGCATATTTTTTTATATCGAAATTAGATCATTTAGTTATTTCAAGTCACATAATTAAGGATAGAAAAATACCAATCAAAAACCTTATGCCGAGGAATTATTCATCTAAGAAAACATAGAAAACTTAAGACTGTAAGATATCATAGTGCTTTATTTTTTATATACACCCTTATCGTTTTTTGTTTTTTGCAATGGCATTGCCAGTTCGTTTTCGAGTTATAATGAGTTCGAATATATCATTTTTTATTTTCCGCCTCTCTTTTACAAAACATGATAATCTTGCATAGCCTGTAGCTTGAAAAAGAGCACTTTTTTAAGTAGCACGACATACACTACATTTAAGCAAAGTATAACTAGCCATTCGTCTTTTTTGGCTATACTCTAATTCAAATTTATTAATTAATAAATAATAAATTTTCCGTAAACATTGTAGATTTTGAGTAAAAGGAACAATAAATCTATTAAATATTAAGAATGTTTTGTATTATTTTGATTTCTTAAGGTCAGATTTCTCAAAAGGTTTGTTTATTTCAGAGAGGAAATATCATTCGAAACAACCATTTCCATGATATAAAACGATTAGTACCAGGTGTTGACGTCAGAGGTATTATGCTTGATGACCAATTTTCAAGTGTTATTATCGAAAATAATGTTTTTCATAACGTAAGTACAAAGTGTTTTATTCATCTATAAAGTTCTGTTGTATATGTTGAACGGATGATGAGAGACGATAGAATAAAATTGAGAATGGAAATGGGAAATGTGTCAAAGAGACAACAACCCGACCATAGAGCAGACAACAGCCGAAGGCCACCAATGGGTCTTCAATGCAGCGAGAAACTCCCGCACCCGGAGGCGTCCTTCAGCTGGCCCCTAAACAAATATGTATACTTGTTCAGTGATAATGGACGTCATACTAAACTCCAAATTATACACAAGAAACTAAAATTAAAAATGATACAAGACTAACAAAGGCCAGAGGCTCCTGACTTGGGACAGGCGCAAAAATGCGGCGGGGTTAAACATGTTTTTTGAGATCTCAACCCACCTCCTATACCTCTAGCCAATGTAGAAAAAAAACAAACGTACAACAGTACGCACAGTAAAACTCAGTTTAAGAGAAGTCCGAGTCTGATGTCAGAATAGGAAACAAAAGAAAATAAACAAAATGACAATAATACATAAATAACAACAGACTACTAGCAGTTACTGACATGCCAGCTCCAGACCTCAATTAAACTGATTGAAAGATTATGTCTTCATCATATGATTATCAGGCACAATCCCTCCTCTTAGGGGTTTAGTATTATACCATCATAAAATATATGAGAAGAACATAACCCGTGTCATGCCAACAACAGAATGTCTGTTTCTGCTTTTTAAAAATTACTTTTCAATGCATCTCTTCATTGTAATGCAAACTTTGAAACCTATTAGATCAAAAATATAACGTTTCCCTTTTTTCTCTGTAACTTGTGACACGTAATCATCATTATCATCATCGTCGTCCCCTCCTCCGTCTTCGTATAGCATTTATCTTTAAACATTTGTAAGATGACATAATTGATTGATTTGTGTTATTTGATGCTTTTGATTTATCTGAAACGGCTTTTTTCTCAATGAAGGTTGGTAATTTTGTTGGGGGTCTTATCTAAAAATTTAAATGAAGATATGTTTAGACCCCTTTTATGGCCCATTAATTCGGAAATAGAAAAAAAAAACATTTTAAAAAATCAATCACTTACCATCCTCCAGTGTTAACTAGACATTACTCCGTCAGATGTCAGTATCAATATTTTTTTTCAATTTTGTCTTTTTAATATTTTCTCTATATAGCTAGGGCTTCAATCTGCATTACATGAAAAACTTCAAAAACTAACGAAAATGCTAAACAAAGTTTTCTCACTGTGATTCCCTGTTACGACATCAGTTTGAGTGACTGTTTTCCAAAATGCTATTATACTTACGTGTTGGTTCAATGACCCTTTAACGTTCAATTCAAATAGCGAACTAAGAACAACTTTTCGATATTTAAAAAATATATATTTTTAGCTTTCAATACAGTTTTTGGAGGCCACTTATCTATTTTTGAGGAAGTTTGTGCTTAATTTCTAGCAAACATTACCTTATCCAGAAATTTTATGCAAGTATATATGCAAATAATGTAACACTAATAACACTATTTTACAGAATGATGTGCATGTCAACATTGGAGGAGGAAGGAACAATATTGTTCGACAGAACATTTTCTTCAATACATCTCAGTATTCAATGCAGATAGATGCGAGAGGTCACAATAGAGGTGGAAACACTAATGTTTTAATAGAAAATCTTAACGTATGTATTAACATAGAATTACAGTAGAATTATAAACCGCACTGTACTACTCAATTGGTATCATATTATAAATAATGATTTACTGTAACATTAGAAGTTAGTATCAAATTTTATTATCAAAACGATTTTCCTGATGAAGTATAACCGACACTGCATTTTATATATTTTAGCGAGATTGTTTTTAATTAAATTTGAACCCGTGAGTGAAAAAAACAAATCCAGTGGGACTTTTTCCTATCGTTTTTCTAAAAACTTAAAGGAACACACGTGCACTATGAGTTTAATTAACTATTTAAGGTTTGTTTGCCTTGTTCTATATTACGTTGTGAAGATTTTGAAGGTCAACATTATATTATTCTTAAATGTGTTATAATTGAAAACATCGATAGAGCTGGGTAATATAGAACAGTATTTAAAGCATTTGCCTGTACCCGCAGATACAGCTCCGAATAACATCGTATTTTTGTGTAAAATTGCTTGATAATGGGATTAGGTATTGATTATTCACTTATACTCAACATATACGCACATGACTCTTACCGAAGTGAAAATCAGGAACAATCATAGGTCTGTTCTATAATTTCCTTTGGAATTTAAAGATGACAAATTTGATCTTCTTTCACTGCACTGGATAACAAAATTATAGAAGTGTCCTCACAAACAACGTTAATATAACGGTATATTGATGGATTTGAAAAGTAAGTGCTCCATGAAGAAAGTCCTTTCCAAACTGTTTACATAAATTTTATCAGCATTCAAAGCCTGACTCCCAAGTTACTGTGAAACTATCTACTCTAGGGGCGATGTGAATCAAATGTGGATACTTAAATATTCAATATATATTCAATATAAAGGTCTGTTAGAGTACTTACAATCTTAGTCTCTTTCCTCTTGCAATTGCATAAAACATTTGATTTCTCTTCCCTTTACAAAAGTATACCCCATTCTAAAATAATAACTAGATAAAAAGAACTAGTGCCACTTTGTTTCATGAAAAAGAATTATATATAAAACATTCTGATTCAAACAAGAAATTCTCTGAAACTGATATCATCCAGATGATTGACTTTTTTATAGACAACATATTTATCAAGTTTGAATTGAAGGACTTTGTATTTCAACACACAATCGGCATTCCTTTGGGACCTTATTGTGATCCTCCTTTTGCCAACTTGTTCCTTTATTCATATGAGACAGAATTTATACAGGAGCTGCAGTCGTTCCGCTATAGAGATGATGTCCCTTTACTAAATAATCCAAAGTTTGGTGAATATGTGGAACGCACCTATCCCAAAAGAGCCTGAAATAAAGGATACCACAGATACAGTTAAGTCTGTCTCATATAATGACTTACATCTAGAAATTGATAATGTAGGTCGATTGAGAACAAAAATTGAGAACAAAACGTTACGACAATAGGGCTGCTTTCAGGTTCCTAATTGTAAACTTTCCATTTTTATGTAGCAACATTCCAGCAGCGTTCATTGAACTTGAAATAAAGTATACAAGAGATACAGTTTAAGTCTGCCTCATAGCATGACTTACATCTAGAAAATTACAATTGGTGTCGATAGAAAACAAAACTTTACGACGAAAGGGATAATTTCAGCTTCCCAATTTTAAACTTTCCATTTCTATGTAGCAACATTCCAGCAGCCTACATATGTAGTATATCTCTCCTAGTTGATACGATATTCCAGAGCTTGCGTTTCCTATCATAATTTCCCTGAAAGAGGGTTTACTGTTTACAAGAGAGCTACTGAACCAAAGTTTTAAAATGGTGAAGATGAAGTCATCCTTTCCAAGGTTTTACGGACACCATCACGAGTTCGTTGAATGTTATGGAATATCTGTGTCACAGATGGCCACGGATATGTTCCAATTGTCATAACCACAATCCCGTCCTCTTTTCTTCGATTATGATATTACCGAATGAGACTTTTCACCAGATTTGTACTTGCATGAGCAACATAACGTGTGCCACATGTAGAGCAGGAACTGCTTTACCTTGCGGAGCACATGAGTTCATTCCCGGTTTGTGTTGGTGAGGTTCGTGTTGATCAACATTTAGATTGCTATGTAGTATTTTGTGTTCGTCTTTTCGTCGTTTTCGTTTTTTCCCTTCATCTGGAACGCTCAAACACAAACATTTGGAACCCAAGGATGTAATAAGACCAAAACACGTTAAAACCTATATGACCAAAAGGAACCTAAAAATAGACTAATTCATTTAAGTTCAACTTTGCCTGAGAGATTCTTCATTTTAATGTATTAAAATATATTACATTTTACCAGAGATTACCATATCAAAACGTTCTATGGAGTCATCGCTACCCAAAACTCGCTTCAATTATGTCTGAAAACAAGCCAGGTGATCCAGAAGGTATGATTTATAAATATTGGACGGAAATTGCGTTTAACCGTACTTAAAATATACTATTCCTTGAATATAAGAGTTTTTAAATTACATTAATTTAGTTAACTGTTTAAAATAGCGAGGTTATTATTGTTGCTATTCCTGTGGTCCTTCCAAAAAACCGCAGAATAGTACCCTTACAATAAAATATATGCCATACTATTATAAAACCCCAAAATTTATACCTAAAAAAAGATTCTGACACAAACATAAGCATATAAGTTAGAACAGTTTTTGTAATTCGTAATTGCGAATTAAATTCGTTATCACAATTTTTGTAATTCGTGATAACGGATTTAATTGTAATAACGAATTTAATAATGCGTGATAACGAATTGTATAAATCGTTAAACCGGATTGAATTCGTTATCTGCCATAAAACCCCAAAATTTATACCTAAAAAAAGATTCTGACACAAACATAAATATATAAGTTATAACAGTTTGTGTAATTCGTAATTGCGAATTAAATTCGTTATCACAATTTTTGTAATTCGTGATAACGGATTTAATCGTAATAACGAATTTCATAAATCGTGATAACGAATTGTATAAATCGTTAAACCGGATTGAATTCGTTATCACGAATTCATAGAAATAGTTATCACATTTTTTTGAAATTCGTGATAACGGATTGAAATCATTATAATGATTTTTATGAATGATTATAACAGATTAAATTCGTTATCACGTTTTTAATCCGTTATCACGAGTTACAAAAAATTGTGATATCGAATTTAATCCGTTATTACGAATTACAAATACTATTATAACTAATTCCATACATACGTGATAACGAACTTAATTTGTGATAACGAATTCTACTATTCGTGATAACGATTTTAATTCGTGATATCGAATTCAAATTATATTTTGTGGAGGTCCTAAATAGGCTTCCGTAGATTAAAGAAGGCAGAAAGGGCAAACTTTGTAAAAAGAACGCATATATGTTATCTCTGACCTGCCACGTATTTTAATAGTCGTTTACACCATCGTAATTAACAGTTTATTTAAATGTCTGTATAGTTTAATTGTGACTAAATTTGCAAGATCATCTAAGGGGTGCCATGAAAAAAGCATAATGCGAGATGACAAATGTAAACAGGCTGTACTTTGCACAGACTCAAAATATTGACAAAGCGAATTTATAGGATTTCCGGGTCGCAACATGTGTTTCTGGAATAATCTCCATCAGGTCGAGATCAAAAGTTAAGAACGTCAAAGATAAAATTTTTGAATGCAGAAAAATTATTTTTAAACATGACTACATTTTAATTAAACTATATAATTACGCTTTCTGCTTTTCTGTAAAAAGGAAACGGGAGATATACGCAAATAAGACATAAGCCAACACCACTATCTCTTTTTGATTCTATAATGACCTTTGTCCTCGTATTATTTGCCACAAGCAGATACATCCGTATCTTGTCAAAAGATCTAGTTTTGATTATTCCTAGTTGTATGTTGTATTGAATTAAAAATACCCTACCCCTAAGTGGTTATTTTTTTTAGCTTACTGACGTTCCTTGCAATAATATATATAGTCTTGGCAATTGAATTTGAACAGGGAACCAAATAACAGATAATATTTTCCACTCTATGAATAAACCCCATTTCCATGGACAGCATAAAGCAGAATGGTTTAATGTTTCTGAGAATATTTACGTGAGTATTCATTTCAGTCAGGTGTGTATATTTAAACCAGATTTCAGTTGCAAAGATACTGAATATTGGAAATAATAATTAAGAATGAAGGCATTAAATTCTAAAATAAGGGTATATTTTAGCTCTTCAATGATTGTATTAAAAATATTTTAAGCCCTTATAACTAACATATCAAGATATTACATAACTAAAGTTACTTGAAATTTTATTCAATTTGATTTAAGTATATATTTGATTTTCAGGTACCTGACGAAAGCAGCTTTTATGCCCCCTTATATGGGAATTTTAAACCTATATGTCTCCTGAAAGGTTTCGCTGCAGTAACTAGTTTTCATAATCCAGTACTGCCAATCGATGTTGGACCTAGATACCAAATAGGACCTTCAAGTAATAGTATGTTCTTTAATGGTAGCACTACATTTTTATAATGATTACTAGTATTGGGAAGTAACCTTTAAAGAATTTTTGTTGAAGTGAGAAAAATCAGACACAAGCGTTACCTTAATTAGAAAGAAAGTTTCATTGACAAGTTACATTATCGCGCCACATGTAAGACGTCAGATAATTTAATATTGGTGCGCTGAAAGCATAGATTTATAAATCGCACTTTACAAGACAAGGTTCCTCGTCCATCAGACAAAGGTGACCTTAAGTGGATTAGGCTTCTCTGTTTGGTCCCTTTTAGTCATATAGCCTATGAACTGTTCAAGTATTGAAACACCATAGGCTTTCAAAGTTTGTGGTTTGAGCGGTCCCTGATGAAGATCAACCCAGGTGAGCGCTTCGGACGCATCACATCTTTTAAAAAGAGGTATTTCCTTTACATTTACACCGGGTCGATATCGTCACTTGGGGACTGCTGGTCCCCGAGTGTATCATCAGTTCAGAAATCAATGCTTCGGTACTTACATGATTCATAATGTACCTGTTTGGGGGAAGTCAGTTTCTCGTTGTATTGTCATTTTTTGTCATTATGAGATATGGTTTAGATCGATTTCAGTTCTTTTCAAAATCATAAAATAAAATAAAGGCTATAACTGTTAATGAATTAATAAATTATTTAAAAACTTAAGTTCCAACTCCCTCAGGTACAGTGGACCTTAGATGAATTTGGCTATTTTTTCCTTATGTTTATTTTAGTCTTAAAGTTCCTAACATGGCTACGTATGTTGACTTCCCTGGCTTTCAAATGTTTAGGTTTGAGCGTTCCTAATAATTTAAATCCATAAATCGTTATTTATAAAATGTTTTCATTTACTAGGACTGGGTTAATACCTCTGCTGATTGACTGTAAGTTTCCATCGGGATATCATTACCTCAGTAGTTATTGCGTAGACTCTTACATGACTTGTAACATTTTTTTATTGTAAAATATCAGTCTTTTCCAACCTGCATGATTTGAACACATACATAGAACATGTCAAAACGTTACTGCATATCAGAAAAATAAAGGCAACTAAGCGATGGTTAAGCTAAATATTTTAACAAGATAATTGTTCAGAGGTTATCGTGTACATTTTTTTTCTTTTCAGAAATTGTAAAACCAGCATTGGGGTATTTATCAGGTATCCCACCTACACCTGGGGCGTGTATATTAAAGTCCTTGGACAAACCTCCTGTACCTATTTACCTTCCAGACGGATCTGTTCCAAATACGTTATATAATGTTTCTCAAACAGGTATATATTACACACTTTACTTAGTTACGTGTAAAATAGTCAAATAGTCAAATGTCAATGTCAGATGCATTTCTGAGACATACAAAGGATGAATGGATTTCCGCATAGTCAAGGCTAGTTAAATCAATTTTAAGTTTTACATATTAATTTTGCTAGCTTATAATAACAGTAAGCAGTACAAATTTAAATGGACTAGATAAGCATTTCGACAATTGTTATCTCTTCAGTGATGCTCGACGTCAAAGTATTCGTTAGTCTAAAACATAATACAAACGTTCATGGGATTATAAAACAGAAAGAACCACTAGTTTTGCCAAACCCGAGCAAGGAATAAGAGTTATGCATGAATTAGAATACATCAAATAATTTCAAAGGATTTCTGTAGTAAGATTTTTGAAATGTCTGCATCGGTACCAGCATTGATTTTTGATGTTGCAAAATTTTAGGATAACAAAATGTGTATGGCTAAACGTTTGAGTCAATATATTGTCGATACTTATCCAGTTAATGTGTACTGATTGAAATTTAAGACTGGGAAAACACGATTTATTTTCAGTTGGATGTGGCCTTTAAATACTAGTAGCTTTCAGTAACTGCGAGTGCTCTTAGATCGAAACCTTGTGTTTTTTTTTATCTTTTTGTGATGATTTTATGAACGCTTATAGCCAATTTGATGAGTCAGGCCTTTTTCAAACTGATCAGCGTAGTTTGTGTTAAGCTGTTATATATTGATCTTGATTCTCGATATTGACACAAATGATCGACTTGAAACTAGAATATATGACGTGATAATTTCAAAACACTCATCATAGACCCCAGGCTTTAACTTTTGTTCATCAGACGCGCATTTTGTCTACAAAAGACTCATCATTGACGCTCGAATCAAAAAAGTTAAACTGGCCAAATTAATTACGAAGTTGAATAGCATTGAGGACCCATAATTTCGGAAGGTTTTGCAAAATACAGCTCCGATAATCTATTCCTTGGATAGAAACTCCTCAGTATTTCGAAAAATTCAGTTTTGTAAACAGTTAATTTATAATTATGACCATATCAATGATAATTCATGTCAACACAGAAGTGCTGACTACTGAGCTGGTGATACCGTCGGGGAGGAATGAGTGATTATAGTTAGTGCTTTGTTTTTAGTTTAAGCCTACATCAGGCCGTTGTTTTTCGCTATTGAAATGTTTCAAATTTGATCATGACGGGGTCTTTTATGGATTTCTAAAGTTTATGGGTTTTGCTTATTGTTGGCTTAAATAACTAGGGTCAAAATTCCATGTTAAAAGTAATCCTCTTAAACGGATATGTTGAAAGGTTGCAAGAAGTCTGCAAGCTGGTTTGAATACACGACACTAAGATCATACATGTACTAAACCTAATGCACGCTAAAAGTTCATATGGAAGGTATCATACGTACAACCTAATTCATATTGTTTGATTATCGGCTTATTGTGTTTAAAAAAAGATGGAAGATACAAAGTGGACATTTAAAACTGATATGTCAAAAAGAGATACTGACAACGACATGCCAAAAAACCGAAACATGACAAAAAGACAAACAAGTCCACTAAACACTGCGAAAAACAAGAATGAGCAACACAAACCACACAACAACTGGGACGATCTTAGGGCTAAGAAGATAGTCTTTTGAAAAATATACTGAGAAATAATTTTTCAAAAGCCATTCAAACAGACCAGACAAAATATTTTCTGTATTTTTTGTGCATGGTTTCTTCTATATGCTTCTTTGTTGTTATTTAGGTTGCTGGTTTTCATTTGACAAATGTCCTAATCATTCTGCATATGAGAAGGCTAAAAGACCGGTATCCACGCCTTTTTATCGCGACATAAACGCGGAAATGAAAGATAACTCAGGAACAAATGAAACAATCTGCCTAAACAAAGTGTCTGAAATGATAACAAAATGTGGTAACGGTTCATCCTTTGCAGTAATATTTGGACCAACAGGTAACTAAGAAATACACAACAAACATATTTTAGGGTTAACTTTGAAAAAATGTCCTGTAAAAAGCTCATTCACGTAGAATCGGAAATGTTGCTTAAAAATGCTTAGAATTAAACTTTTTACCATGAAATGTAAACTATTTTCTGTCTTTCTCAATGAGCAGACACTCACTTTTGCATCGAAGGTCAGATCAAAGTTCAACGTAATAAGTAAACAACTAATACTGAGACTTTTATCTCTTATATATGTCATAGTAATGCTGTTGAACGCATCAACGTATTATGGTGAATAATATAATCTCCTAGAAGAAATTTCCATATAATTCACAAAGTACTTTCAGGGATACAGAATAAATCTCGAACACATTGGGAAACATTGTAATTTTTCTGCACTGTGTGGGTTCTTCCGTGCGACAAATATCAGTTTTAATATTGAAGCGCTGTTCATTTTTATATATAAATGCCTATGTTCGCGTTTATCTGCCCAGCATTTCGATATAATTATCGTTTCCATTTCGGACGTATAAGAAACGGTTACATGATTTTTGTGTCAGTTCTCTTATTAATGTCTGAAATTCCTTTTGAATGCAGAAAGATATATTGTATTGGTAAGGGGTGTTTAACGACATTGACTATAGATATCATTTATGTATATCTTATATTGCTCTATGGATATTAAGTTGATTTACAAGTATTAAAGGAATAGTTTTATGATCTTTTCTTTCGCAGCCCACTAACAAGAATAGGTATATGGAGTGAAAAATTTCGATCTCCCCATATGCACCTTCTTTAAAAAAAAAACCACACGGTGTTTAAGCATCTACAATTCAAGGATTTTAATTGGTCATTTTTTTTATTATAGGAGCAATGACACTTGGCGGCGATGGATGTTATTTTGCCACGTATGGATGTCCTAGGGTAAAATCGATGGCCTCTGGTTTCTTTAGAGATTCATGGGCAGAGCAACATGTCAACGGTGCTCACGATGAATCGGCATGTTTATCCAGGGCATTACCACAGTGGAGGTATTGTGGAAGTGATCCAGCATTTCCCATGGCTAGTATATATAAACCAACAGGTGAAAAAATACATAATTGTCTAAAAGGCCATCTTTTTTTGGTATAAGTTCATCTGTAATACAAATATGTTGCACTTTATATGAAACTATCATTAAAAATCATAATAACTTTAAAAGGCAACAATAGAGGACGCAGGAAATTACATTTGTTTAAAATTATTTAAACAGTCTAAGAACCAGACTGTAACATTGGTATCTCTTAAATTTATTTGTCAAAGAACCAATATCATTATACTCCCGATGTCTAAAGTGGGTGATATATAGTGATAGGGGTGCGTCTGTCGGTATGTCCGTTCCTTCGTTTGTCCTTTTATCATGTACCCACAACTGCTCTTGAACTGCTTGTCAGATTTTTGTAAAACTTTCACAGACATAATAAACATGATGTTTTAGTCCACATCGTATTTTTTTGTATCAGAGTCATTAATGGGTTATCCTAGTTTTAGCTATAAGCTCTAATTTTTTTAGATCATCAAAGGTGAATTATTAGAGAGAGAACAAATATTTAGTTAAAATTAACGGTATATGTCTATTTTATCAAGGAGATCCGAATATAACTTCCTTTGTCTAACGAATATTTGTTATTTTAACTATTTTTTGTTATATTTTCCTTTCACAGTATTTTATTCCCGTTTAGTCGCACTTTGTACCATATTACAAATAATAATAACGATAATGAAAATGATACCCAGATAAAAGTATCCTATATATAAAACAAATAAAATAAATACTTGATAAAAATTATACAAACTCGTTTACCTTAAAAATCACAGCAAAAAAAACAAAAAAACAAAACAAACAAACACAAAAAGTGATGTTAATTGATGATACTGTGCAGCACTCCATATCATTTTGGAAATGTTAAACTTGTTTGATTCGAGTGACACCTGTGTGTTACATAAACGAAATGCACGTTATGCGAACTAAATTATAAGCATGGTATCTTTGATAAGTTTAAATCTTATGCCGTGGGGGTGAAGAGTGACACAACATAGGGTTTCCATTGAGTCATACAATATTTCATTCATCGGAATTTCTCTTAAATATACTTTTGTACAGATATTTGGAATTAGTTACATTTACATTTTACACGTATAATAAATTATTGTTCCTCTACAAAGTTGACTGAGACTCATTAACAACTAATAAAGGTAATTGTGAACTTGAAATATTAACACATTGGTGTAAAATACAAAATGAACATATTTTCACGTTCAGCTCATGATATAGAGCTCGGTTCATGATCATATTCCGGTTTAAAATGCGGTTTGGTTGGAGCTAAGCTTTAAATTTATTTCCATTTTCGTGTTTCATTGTGCTGTTATTTTTTATTGACATTGGTCGTCCTTTTTATTTAAATACGAATACACTGAATTGTACTGTAAACTTTAATAATACATCTATCATCTTCAGTAAAACCCAAAACAGACTCCCAGAGGTCAAACTAAGGACTTAAACAATAGACAAGTGGCTATACCATATGTCTGGCTTAAATCTCTTTTTCAATTTCATTTACATTTTGACAACATTCATATAGATACAAAGAAAATTTAATTATCATTGAGAACTTGTGAAATATATGTTGTGACAGGAAAGTTCATCAATGTTTTCGAAAATGTGATTTCTTTTTTATCAAACAGTTCCGACTATTTCTGACTTCCCGATTTGACTTGAAAATATAAGTCGATTGGTTTTTTCAGAAATGTGGTATTTTAAATGCTATAAGTTTATATATGATACAAAACGAAAATGGTAAGAAATATTATTTGTAGGCATGGTACATGTAGGTTCAAAAAGCTACATAGGGTTTAAAGGGAAGAAAAGTAACCTTTTGCGACAGGTTTCATCTGGCAGTTTTGACTTCTTTGGACTGCAATATGTATTAATTGTTTCTTTTCATAATGATACGAATGCCTCTTATTTTTTCATTCCCTTAAGATAAAAGTCTTTATCAGTCTTAAACTAAATGCAACATTTGCAGGTGTAGATGACCAATTTAGATCTTAATTATCATAAATGGTGTCTAAAGGCGTATTTGCTAGTGCAAAACCAGTTTTAGTTTGATAAACTTTCCATTTGTTAATGAGAACCGGTTTTAAACTGGTTTCGAACTGAAACTGGTTTGCCATTTGTTATTCTCAAACCGAAACTGGTTCAAGAAACTATTCAAACTACGTTCATGGGTGGTTTGTGGTTTCGGTATAGGATTTAAATGGAGGCAATGTTGATGCAGTGTAGTAGTCGCGAAAAAATTTAAGCAGATTCTATGGTCAAATTGATTTTTTTTAATGGATTTTCAATACTTATATGTATATTAACCTTTTTGTGTTTGGTGTTTTTTTAGCTACACATCGTTTTATATAGATAATTAATGTTCATTATAAACACTATTCATTTGTTTCTGTTATTGCCATTTTTTCTAGTCTGACAGTTGTCTTTTTGTATGACTGATTGGCAATTAAAAAAAAACGTTTTAAATTGTTAATTTTTATTTGTTGTGAATTGGAAAATACTGAGATGACGAATAAATGTTTATGAGATAACAATCCGATAAAACAAAACAAAAATATGTAAACCTTTCTATACATGCTATAATTCAAAACTGGGAAGTAAATGGAAATAGCCTATGAAAACAAGAGCAAATGAAACTGTTAGAATTGTTAAAATTTGTAATTAGGTCTACATTTCTAGGTCCGTGATATTTGGTCTATATGTTGTTGCATTAAATTAAGCATAACTCATTGTCATGTTAAATTTAAAAAATGGCTCCATTCTCCAATTGGTCTATGAACACTGAAACATTTGACAGGTAACATGTAAGAGTTTTTGATTAGGTATGTTGATGGGAAACCACCATTGATAATTCATTGATATCGGTATGCAGTTTGCACATCTCATTTTAACAGAGATTTTTATATTTTGACTTGGTGCGTCTGTCATTATCTTACCAATAATGAATTCAGAGACTGGTTAAGTTTAATTTTATGTCTTAATTTTAAGTAAAAAATCACATCTTCGACTCTGCAGTGTCAGACGGACTATGTACATCACAAAAAATATTTCTTTCTTTAATCTCCCTAACCCCCCTCTTCAATGTACTCATTCATGTACATTTTGTAAGAGGCATAACTCGTGTAGCAAGCAACAGATCAAAGCTACTTTTAATAGGTACCTTCATCCTAATCTGAAACAATAGTGTAACATCACAACATAGAAAGACACACTATAAATTTTCAATTGAAATGACTGAACTCAATCAAAAGACATATTAACACTAGTGCACATACACATACACTGAACGAATAAATTTATTCTATGATACAATGTACATACAAAAATCAAAAGCACATGTAGTATAACGAAATCAGAGATCTATATTTTAATTAGATTGTACGCGGAATCACCAAGTAAATGTGTATTACATGGGAACACCTCGTTGCGTTGTTGAATACTGGAGAGAAATGAACGGAGTCCATCCACAAAATACATAAAAAATAATACAAGAAATGCCTATTGCTATCACGTATACCCTGTAGATTTACTGAATGGAAAGATTTGCGATTAATGTAGTTCCCTTGGAACTCTCTAGGTGCGCTAATAGGAATGTGTGTCCCGTCAATTACACCTATAAATCTTTAAACCGGGCCGTAACTACCGATGAGCCGCGTCTGAATTTCTGGCAAAAAAAATAATGATTTTAATAAAGAAAAAAAATATGGAGAAAGCTAGGCATGCAGAGGGTAGAACACATCTTTGCATTTTTACATCAAAAATTAAGTAGTGCATACTTCGAATAGTAATTAATGTTGACGTGCAGCTTCTGTACTTTTATTTCAACGTAAGGTATCAAACTCTCTGTATCTGATTACCATTGCCAGTAAACCAACATTTGGTTCTGCAATTATTAAATATCGCGAAAATGAATTATTGATAATGGATATTTTCCACATTATAAGTGCGCAAAGTAAATAAAAATTTAAATGGTTTGAATTCTTCAACTTGCTAGGTCAATACTATTAAAGAAGCATTCACAGATCACACATGAATACCAAAGCATCCCACACTTTGTGTGTAGTTCTCTTTCAAATAAAAGGAAGATTTGAGGCATTTTCAAATGTTTTGCTACAAACTTGGCTGCTATTTGTTTGGTTTAACAATAAGTTGGATGTCTTTCAGCTATATAATAGAGAGCAGGTTTTGTGATCATTCCTTTCGAATGTTAATTGGACAGGAGAAGACCTTGACAAACTATCAATTTGATTGCTTGATACTTATAATTTCCACAGAGTATTGTAGGAGTACTTCGGCCTGGCGAAAAAAAAACACGGTTGCACAATTACCCATGGTCAAGGTGACTAGAGAGCATATAATTTGTATCATTATTGATTCGGGTGTTATGCATTTATAAAATAATATTAGCAAAACAGATTAAATTATAGATACAATTCCAAGCGTAACATAATTGGTGGTATAAATTCGAGGCAAGTATCTGTAAACTGGCTCTGATAGCCTATTACAGTTCTTGATACGGTAAATATGAAACAATAACAATAAATATGATACAAAAAACGAAGGCAACAAGATATATTTAGAACCATAATATTACAAGATGTAAATAAACTTTACATTTGTTGAAAAATATCTAAACCTTAACCAGTTTTAAAACCTAACCCAAAACCAAACCAAACCAGTTTTAAACCAAAACCTAAAACTAAAACCAGTTTTTCTGTAACAAATAAGAACAGTTTGTATATTTGTCATACAAATACCAAAGTATAAATTTTCATTGATAAGGCCATATAAAAGTAGCAGGGAAGGGATGTTGGATTAAACCAGAGAAATGTCCAGCTGACAACTCACTGAATCACATGTTTTATGATGGATTTGGAGGTGCAAATCTTATGACAGGTAAATTATATCAGTCAGTAAAATTTTGAAATATATTCTTGCGTGACTAAATACCTAAACAAATTTGTCAACACAAACATGCATAAAAGCATTAAGGACCAGGGAATATTATAAACAAAAATAAAGATTAATAATATATTTTGCCACAATGTTGTTATATTATATGAATACAATTTATATAAAAATAAGAAGATGTGGTACGATTGCCAAAGAGACAACTCTCCACTAGAGACCAAAACACATAGAGGTTAACAACTATATTGGTTTTGTGTCAATTAGACAGTAGTTTTATGACACATAAAATTAAAAACGCAAAACTACACATAGAGCTCTACATGTGGACTTAATAATAGACAAATGATTATACATCATGCCATGCTCTAAATTATCTGCAATCTAAATAAGTTTTCAACTACTAGAGACTTTTAAAGATCTGGCTTTAACACCAAAGCATGCTTTTTAAAACATTATAATAAACGGTATGCGTCCACGTCTTTATTTACAAGCTTGTAGAGCTGACCATTTTTCAAATGTTGTCAGATTATACAAGAAAAACGCTGTTATTGGCAAGTAAGAAATTTTAAACCTAGTTTACATTAAAAATAGTACAGATGTAAGAAACAATTTCTTGCTACATACTGTTTAAACAAAAGAGAAAAATTAAAGGTATTTTATAATTTTTTTTAATCAATTAAGATCAGAATCCTATTTTCTTTAATGAAGGAGACTTAATTCTGTATTTGTTTCAATAAAATACAACCATCATATAAAGTTGAATGAATATATGTATTCAAATAAAATGTCCCGCAAGTAAATAGCCTTTTATTATTTTTAATCAGTACATGATTTCTATAATAATTCAAATAGATCATTTGCAATCAGAGATGGCAGGATATTCCCGCACCACATTAAATAAAGGAACACAATAAAACTATGCATCCTCTGGAAAGGTACAACACTGTCTGCAACTATTAGGAGACTCAATAACTCGCAGCAATATTTAAATTCGCATTATTCTATTATTAAGAGAGGAAACCTTATAGACACTAGGAAAATATCAGCAATTCAAATAAAGAAAAACAAAAATAACATGCAATTACAGCAAGAGTGATGTTTTGTTGAAAGTAAAAAGGCATTGCATGAACGTTATGAGAAATTAAAAGTACTAATGAGGATTCAATATTCTCCTCTCCATAAATAGCACCAACTCTGAGAAAATAAAAGAAAAACATTATTTACCAGTAATACTTTGTCGCAGGCCCAAGAAACATCGCTTTGAACCTTATATCTTTTCTTTTATCGAGTTAGAAATAACATAATGGTATATTTCTGTACGCTGTCGAAACAGTAATATCACCAGTTTAAACGTAGAACTGATATAAGAATACCAATTACAATTTTTTGTTTAGGTATGTTAATAAAAATTGCCTCATAGTCGAAACAATGCTGATTAGTGAAATGAGCTGGTAGCTTAAAACCTATATGAAACTATTTTTTCCCTCATAAATACGAAAAAGTGGAATGGATTTGAATTGTGGTAAAAAAACACTCGAGGGTTTGATAATGCCAAATCGTTGAATCCCTCGAAACCGTGCGATATTTCATTATTAGTTGTTTGAACGTTTTGTTTCCTAATCAACATTGAAATTACTTTCTGTAAAAAAAACTCAGTGTGGACTACAAAGGGGTATAAATATATTCACTGCCTTGATCGGACTTGTAGTGACTTTCAGGAATAAATCAATACGATTACTTGTAGTGTTTAAGACAAGAGTGAATATGTTCAGATAAGACTCAACATTCCAATATTGTACTGTCTTATTTTAGATGATGACATCGACAGCTGTTTTTCTCGGGCAGAATATTTCTGGAGACAATGTGGAAGTCATACTGAATATAAAGTTACAGCATACTTTAGACCAGCAGGGAAAAGACATATTTTTCCATGAGGAGATAAGCCCGTTCATTAAATTTCAACACATCCATGACATTTGTTGTCTTTCTGGTCAAATGCAAGTCTGGCACAGGTCTTATGAGTAGTCTTCCTACTAGTATACTAATTTCTTTTTTAATCAATTCTATGATTCTCTTTTTCGCCTTAAAAAGGCTAAAAAAACCATGTTTAAAAGTATTTTAAGACAAAGATTTTAAAGATACATTGTATCTCCAAAAAACTCATTGTCATGGTCATTTTATAAACTTTTTTGTATCTAATGCTCTTCATGAGAATACTATATGAAACGTGTGTGTAGTGTACTTCAATATGTATCATATATTTAATTTATTTTCACTAAATCAAATCGCAGATGGTAGTCTGTCTGACCTTGAGGCCGGTAACATTATGAATATATTTGAAATGTATATTTTCGAAACATTTTAGCATGTAAAGTTTAGTGTTTTATAAGTTGAAATGCACCAAAGTTGACCATGGGTGGATTTTGGCTGTTTTATTTAGACCTCGTTTTGTTATGAGTAATCACAAATTCTTGGATTTTTATATTTGTTTCATGCCTGAAGTACATTTTAGTTGTCATTTAATGTTCATGAGAAAGAAAATACTCAGTGAAAAAATGAAAAGTCCAATAAAAACAGACAACACCATGGCAAAAGAAGCAAACTAACGTAAAGACAAGCAATGATAAAAAAACACTCCAAAGAAAGTTAAAGATGAAGCAACATGAACCCCACAAAAAACTGGGGATGATCTTACTTGTTCCGAAAGAGATGGCAGATCCTGCTCCTGTAGAGGCACCCGTCATGTTGCTCGTGGAAAGTGCGAATTCAGCTGTTCGAGATCTACTAGTGACATCTGCTGTGTTGCTCTTGTTAAAGTATGTTGATGAATCGCATTCGTGATAAGTTACCACACATTAGAGTATTAATAAACGTCTCTTGTCTAACCCTAACGTATAAATCAAAAACGTTTTTCCACAACAAGAAACAAATGTCTTAGAAAAAGGTATTGTGGAATGGAGAATATTCAAGCTATACACATTTGTTCAAATCATACAAATATAAAAACAAATCAATAAAGACTATTGGATTTATCGGTAATAAGTTTAAATCACCTTGATATCATATTTATGTCATGTTCATAGTTTTGTAAGAATAGAATTGATTCACAATTGATCTTTCATTCATTCGTACATACATACATTTGTATTACATGTACTCGAACACCGGTAAACCTCCATTATGTCTTGTAATTAGAATGCATTTACTCTCCCATTTCTATCGATGATCTAACCTCCGTCGTGATGGTCTTCATTTTCTTTTGATACTTATGAAATAAGATGATGGTCGTTTATTGGTGCATGCTTGACTGATTTATATGAATCTATCGACGAAAAATTACAAAAAACAAAGAATAATAAAACAAGGAAAATTAATGCAATATTTTGGTATTTGACAGAATAGTGAAGGAAAACAAATTATGTGTTTTAAACTATGTTTTTTTTTTTCAAATGAGAGAGCGATGCGGAGAACAGAAATTAGCTTTTCTCTAAAGAACTCAACTGAGGGAGAAAGAATTAATGACATGGATAATTTATTTTACTGCGGTATTGAGTTCGTGTATGTTATTAAATTCTTAAAGAGAAAAACCTTTGTACAAAGAATTTTAAAAAATATATTCACGTCATTAAACTATTTTTGGAATGAACACTGGTAGTTTCTCTTTCATTTCTCCGAAGCAGTGGATCAAGATTTAAATATATTTTAAATACAAAAGACTAATGGGTAAGATATCTGTTTTATTTCATTTCACATTCTTGTCTTTTATTTCTAAAAGTATTTTGTATCACTAAATTATGTTTAAATTTGGAAATAAGTATATTGACATTTGTATTTTTTGTGTAATAAGCTCAATGAGTGATAAACGACACAGGTTCATTCTTTTTTTATTTTGATATATTCATTGTATAGATCTAGGATAAGGAATGCCCGGATTATGGTTGTCAATTTAAAAGTTAACACTAAGGGTCTGCTTCATTCGTTCTTGTTCGGGCTATACCCGGTAAGCCCTATCACGTGACCGTGTTAAAAGCGCCTGAAAAGTGAAACGAGTAGAACCGACTGAATCGGATGAATCAAAAATGGCGACTGAAGTCCACAATTATACTATTTGCTTTCTAAGCTGTCAAATATTAAAAAAATGGACCTGTTAATAAAAATTGTATGTACAATCTTTTTTTCCAAAACCTCATTCGTCCTAAAAACGTGTTTCGGAGATAATTTTATCAATCTTTTAAAATAAAATATAGCGTAGTGTTCTATTATCGTCATAGTGGACCATTGCAGTATCCCATTACAATATAGTTTGATTGAAAATGTTACAATCTACAACTTTAAGTTTCGACATTTGACCTTTCAATACGCTTTCCGCCATATTTATTTGACCTGCTGATATCGTGCTGGTGTGTAATGACCGGCGAGGGCGGCGTATGCCGATATGCGCCGGTGGTTGATTTCTTAGCAAATGAAGCGACTATGCCTATGCCGAAAGTACCAACCGGGCTAACCGGGTTAATCCGCCTTGGCAAATGAAGTACTACCTTCGGCAGTGGATGTCTTATGTTATATCTTGATATTTTTGTTATTTGGAGAAATTGGTGTTGAAGCAGATAGTTGTTGTGGACCTTATTCACAAACTTTTAAAACTCGGTACAATAAGAGCTTAACATATTGTACATACAGGGATTCTCGGTGGCAGAGTGGTCTTAGTATTCCAACTACTGTATCACTAGCCTGTCAATACTGAGGTTGTGAATTCGAATCCCGCACGTGGCAGGTGCGCTGGACTCCAATCTCAATTGACTAGGATTGTCAGTATTTCTACCTTGAGTCGGTGGTTCTCTCCAGACCCTTCGGCTGCCTTCATCAATAAAAACTGACCGTCATGAAATAGCACAATAGTGCTGAAAGAGGCGTTAAACACTAGTCAATAAATCAATCACTATTGTACATACACTTGGTGAATACTTTATATTTCCGTAGATTATGTCATTTGCATTTTTGCCGTTGAGTTGTTGTCAAAGTGAAACATACCCTACATCAGGTTGAATTTATTCATATTTTGTGTTCGACTATGGATATCTTTGGATTAAAAATGAGAGAAATATCCGTATATCTTATATTCTGTTAAATTGTCAGCGTAATATCGTGGGATTGATCGGTTTCGTAATGACTTCAATAAAAACGATACTAGTAATGCATTTCATCGGCAATCGTATGTTGATATTGGTTATAGTAACGCTCATCTCTTGGCATACTAGTCCACCTGTCAATTGAGATAGGAAAAGTGCTGCTATCCTTTTCTCTCTCCTTCTTACTCTTAAAAAAATTATTGCAACACACACAAGATAAAAACGGACATGCATGCAACGACTTTTGTCAATAAGCCGTTGGATACAAGGATTTATTACTTTCCAAAAACCAATAATTACAGTAATTACAACAGAAGGTCAATGTTCTAATTAACTGCAAGATAAAATTAATTGCCTCTATTTATTTATTGTTGACAATAATATATGGCTAAAATTAAATTTTAATTGGAGACACCAAAAACAGAGAAAAAACTTTCCCCTTTTAAAGACTACTACATCTTACCATTCTTCGAAAAGATGTATGATTGTATGATGTAAACAAAACTTTGTCTGTTTATTGACGTCCGTTTATCTGCATTGGTATGGAGTTCTATAAGAGAAAATCCCGTTAATTGAGTAGTTACTGGTCCTAAGAGACTAATTGATAGAAATTGAACTTGGTTAAGGTAGCGCATTATTCTATTTTTTTTAATTTCTTTATTCATGCATCGTCTTGTGTATCTAGCATTTGTAGGATTCTGCATGCTAAGAGGAACAGCATGGAATTCCAGACTTTAAAGCTTTTTAAAAGTTAAAAGAGATAAACACACAATTGACATTATACATGCAAATCGACATATTTTAAAACTGTACATTATCCTTGAAAATTTACGCTGATTAAACCAATGGAGGCATTTTTGTAACCAAAATAGAACGTTTTTAGAGCAATAAGTTATAGGAAACGTGAGTGCGGGATGAGAATATTCATAAAATATTATTTCTTGATCTGCTGACAGAACCCGTACTTGGAACTATATATATATTAAGGGACAATTCTTCTTTTAGCTAGACCAATTTAACAGTGTTAAGTATTGCTAAAATAATTCCTTGCTGTCAGTCTCTCAGGATAGAAATAGAAAAACAGTTCTTTTTTTTTTTATTTTAAAGTACTAAACATTTAGCTTGTTCACCGACAGTCGTTCACTTTGCAGAACATATGAATGCTTATATGTAACTATAAAAAAATCTGTTTTGCATTTAGTTCTCTAGCATAGAATAAACAGCTATGGCGATTAACACAATTTTTGTATGCGGTGAGAATGTTACGGAGGAGTTAAAAACAGAGATCACTCAAATATGTGAATCTGGACCAAATACTCCAGGTAAGTCTAGGTTCTCAAGGAAATTGTATACCTTAAATCTTTTCGACCAGGACCATAGGATCATGAAATCTTCAAATATTACAGAAAATATCTCAGAAGGAGAAAGCGTAGTTAAAAAGGGTAATGAAACATACATTATGAATGGAAAGTAACGGTGCCATATGTCATGCCCTAAATCGTCCAGAATCCAGACAAGTTGTGAATAAATTCATCGGAAACTAATAGACATATTGCAAACATCGCCAAAAGTTAGAGAAAAAACATGAAGAAACAAGATAATCGTCCAATAAGTGCCTTTCCGTAGTTCGAAATTATTAGAGCCCTGTTTTTTTTAATAATTCCTCATAATATAGACAGACCAAAATATCAAGTCCATCCGCGTCAATTTATCATTCTAATGCAATTATTTTGTATCATTGTTTCTGATTGGATGACAATAAGCGTAAAATTCTCTATCTCCCTGTCTCTTACTAAGGAAGCCGACATTTTGAATTCCGGAATGTGACATGTAATTTCTCCAATAAGAAGCAAAAAACTCACATTTTGCACCT